ATATTAAGTAGGTATTGACATATAGTAATTATTAAAATTCACCTGGACTTGCTGCTATATAAGGAACATTTTCATCCACACACAAACCTACAGGTTTAATAGTGAGATTAAAAATTTCTTCAAACTTTTGTTTGGCCACAGTTTCCATCACACGTCCATACTCAATAGATTTTATTTTATAATTTAATTCTCCATATAATAGTTCGTGAACTGTTTTTTTGCAAGATGTATATGGTCGCATTTTTGAAATTTTTCCTACTCTAGAAGCAGTTATTCTTTTTCTCCTTTCCGAAAACCATAATGGAGATTTCGCTTGTTCTCGTGTATCTTTTTCTAAATTATCTATATTAAATTATGATAATGTTTAAATAAATTATATTTTATTGTATAGGAATTTCATTGTGTCTATTACCTATATCAATTTCTCTTAATTTGTTTATAAAATCGACTTTTTGTTTTTCTAATTCTTCGGGACATATATCTTCAGGCAATTCTTCCGCCAAACCATAATTTTCATCGGGACCCGATTTTTTATTTCTATTTTTTGAGGTTGTTGGAAATAATTCTCGCCTCTTTGTATTGTTTTTATTATTATTTTTTTCAAATTAAGTATATTACAAATATTTTTATTAAATAAAAAAAGCTTAAAAATGTCATTTAAAGATCCTCCAAAGTCATAAGTTATATAGTTAAAATATATAATTAAAAATATAGAAAGTACGTAGTCACAATTTTTTTTCATAGACATTTTAAGCTTGTTTTTTAACGAAATTGTATATTTGAATGAAATATAACGACTTTAATTATATTTATGTAATTCAAATATATTATTCTATTCGTGGGTATTAGATACTTAAACTTTATTATTATAACCTACAACTGCAGTAATATAAATAACAATAGTAAAGTAAATTACTATACTAGCAGTATAAATTATATATGGGTAATCAAATATATTTGGTAATATGTAGGCTGACAGCCTTTGCTCAACATCGTTTTTCGTATGCAATGATTTACCATTGAATTCAAATTTAACAAATCCACTATATACATATATTATATACTATTATAGTCTATAATATACAATGACAAGGTACACAGACACGGAGACACCTGTCTACTTTACAGTAGAGTGGATACCTACTTTCCCCCCTTTTTTTTAAATGTTATGATTATTTTGACAATAATAGATATTGTGAAATAAGAATTTATCTATAATATGTATATTAGTATATTTATAGATTACATAATATACTTCCAGTATATTATTATTATTTTATTCTTACGCAGTATTTTGTATACTGTCTTGAGATTGAGATACAATGTGTTCAGGTACTTCAACTACCTGCAGGGTACTTGAAGTTGACTTGTACCTAGAACATATTTTATTTTATAGCAAAACAATGTCGACAAAAAGTTAAATTGTAATCAAGGATGTTTAGAATTTTTCTTAAGGGAGGGCTTTCAAAAATTTTTTAAAATGTTTTCGGAAATTATTATTGAAAAGTTATAGCTAGGGCCCGAATTTCAATGCCAAAAGCCTCTTTTTTGGGTGATCTTAGACAATGCTTTTCAAGTACATAATTTGTTTCATATAACAGAGACTTTTAGCATTTTCTTTGTTTTAATTCATAATAATATGTACAATATACGAGTATATTATAAAAATTGTTTAGACTTACATATACGATACGATACCACACAAAAGTGTTAAAAATTTTTAATTTTAATAATTTTTTTTTTAATAAAAAAAATTATAAATTACCGAAAATAATAAATTATTAATAATTATAATTTAATGGTATTTTTGGCAGTTTTTTAGAGGATTTTTTGATGACTTTTAGTGCTTATAAATCCGGGACCTAGTCATAACACACCCTTGATTCTTGAACAATACAAGTATAAAATTCAATATTTTCTAATTACCTTTTATTATATTGAAAAAGACAACTTCCTCTTGTTTTTTTGGCATTAGATTTTCTTTTAGAAGGAAATCCTTTTTTATTCGCCATAATAATTTATTACAGTAATAATAATAACACTTAGAATAAAGTAATAAACACGTTTAAATTAAACAAACTGTACAGTGCACTGTGTAGAACAGCAACAATTGCCAACTAATCAAAATCAAATTATTGTTGTCTAATATTGTATCATATTATAATATAATATTTTATTTTTCGTCCCGCATTCATAATAATATTATCATAGTAATAATTATTAATATTTAGCTTATAAATAAACATCGATATGCGTGTCACAAACCAATATAGACGCATGCCGTAAATAGTTCAGTTGCTTGTGCTGGAGTGGTGGTAAAAACACAAACGCTGCCGCTATTGCAACGGAAGCAGCACAGGTCGATTACGGAATTATATTTTTCACCATCAACCAAATTAATATATTACTTCGGCATTTCTCTATTTTCTCGAGTTGAGAAAGTCGTAAAGCGGTGAAATAAAAAACAAATTGTTAATGACAAAATTATCTAGCGCCCTACGGTGCCATTTTGGAATATCTACATTTAAATACGTTTTGTAGATGGTTAAAATATCAATTTTTTTTAGTTTTTTTATTCATTATAACTAATAAAAAAATTTAGATATAAAAAATCGGCACCGTAGGGTGCTAGATAATATTGTTGTTATTCAATAGGTGTTTGTTTCGTATTTCTAAGATATATGGGAGCTGAGAAAATTAAGAAATGCTAAAGTATGTTTTTCATCATAAAATAGTTGCGCTGACATCCTCTTAATACTATACTTTTATTATTAATATTCCAGATAAACTAATACAATTTGTTTTACAGTTAACAATGACATGTACGAAATCGGGACTAAGGAAGGTCGCCTTTCAACTTGGTATAGTAGAAACCAATTTGTAATTTGCAAGGAAAGATTTCTGAAAGTCGATGAAGTGCCACAAACCAAGATTTCACTCCGAGAGACAGCACGGACATTTTCTAATTTGGGTGGTCAGGGCTACGACCGATGTACGTGTGTACAAAAATGTAAAACACGGAAGTGCAAGTGCAAAGCTGCGGAGAGACTATTCACATCAAAATGCCACGGGAGTAGTGCATGCGATAATAAGTAATACATTGATAATATTGAGTATAAATATTATCATTACTCAATGGTAATAAATAATTACTACTAATAAGTAATGAAATATAATTAAATAGTAATAAAATATAATATTAGTATAGGTACCTCCTAGTTAATATTTATCATGTTTATAAAGTTAAAATATAATGAATAAAATGCTTTATACTTTACAATTACATAGTATTATCTATATTGCCCAATATATGAAGGTCATTTTACATAATGGCCGGGCATTATATAATATGCCCGGCCATTTTATAAAATGACCAAATTGTATACTTTGCCCGTTACATATATATGTACGCACGGCGTTGACCATGAAAAGAATTGCAAGTCAAATACCCTTTATATTTTTATTATCGTTGTAAAACATAATAACATGTATCGAATGAAAAAATTATATTATAGAAAAATATTTATTAATCATGTATTGAAAATAAAATTATATTACTAACTATTTCTCCTATGATCAATAGGCAATAGCCACCATTTTCAATAAACAACAACCAATAATTATTATTTATTATTATAATAGCTTTAAAAATCATGGCAACTATTTTTAAACACAAATTTCTATCGTAAATCTCAAAATTCCAGTTTGAGCACCTATCCTGGGTGATCAATTCACTTTTTAAATTAGCCTATATTCATCAATGATAATGTCGGCTTCTAATCGTAAAACAATTTTTAAAATCTGTCCAGTAGTTTCGGAGCCTATTCAATACAAACAATCAAATCTTTCCTCTTTATAATATTAGTATAGATAATATTAATATGTGGACTTGTATAGTATAATATATATAAATAGCTGATCCCGTGCACTTCGTTTCCCGTTAAATGTACCAACTCTATATGATTCAAACATTGTTCAATGCGTTATTTAATATTCGGTGTATGATGTTCTAGATTTATCTTAACTTTTCTGTTGCCTGGAATAAAAATTCTGAATTGCAGCAGTAGATTATCAGATAGGTAATTTACATGCGGTAGATCGAGGACCCCGTGCTGTTTGTACGTAAGTGTACGATTTAACTCAAAAAGTACCAAAGTTATACCAAGTTTGAAGTTTTTACTTAATTCCACCTACCTATAAATCCTAACCTAACCTAACCGTACTGAAATCCGATGAATAAAAAAAACCAAATTTAACTCTTTTTAAATTAGCGTATCTTCTTTCCATAAGTCATTCATTTATATATAAGATATATTTACAAAAAATAATAATACAAATCAACAAACATGCCCGATTAACCAATAGCAACCAATATAATATAATATACCATAGAGTAAATAAAGACAACGGTATCGAGTTCAAATACCAGACATCAATAAATATTTTTTGCAGTTTTTCTAATTATTCGGTTGATTTTTTAAAAATTTTCTTTCGTAAAAACCTTCACCTGGCAATTACGAACATCTTAAAAAAAATTTGAGCAAAATCGGCCCAGCCGTTCTCAACTGATGCAATTTCGAATTTTTTGTCTCCATTTTTATATATATAGATTACTTGTGTAAAGAGACATCTGAATCTGCCGTGTAACCAATTTTACAAATACAGCATTTATAGCCCATTTTGACAAATAAGAAATAACGTAATATAGAACTATAGAAGAAACTGTATTAGGTATAGTTCGTGAAAAGTAAAAACAAATAACAATTAAACAATCTTAAAATTGTTACATTAAAACATGTACCGGGCATGTATCCGCATTGATATTATACACTACATTACTACAATAATAATTATTATCGTGCAGTCACAACTCACACAAGAAGAGCGCCCTCTATCGATGACCGCTGTACGTGTATGAATGGCCAGTCTATTATTATAAGGTCTATGTTTTTATGTGACAAAATTATATCATAATTCAAAAATAGCTAATTTTTATTTTCATGCGACTAACGTGTTTATCGCATGCGACTAAACAGTCGAACATTTCAAAAATTGGGTCCCTGCACGCCGATACGCCGTTAGCACCGCGACACGCAGGTTTGCCGACCCCGTTTGTGACGGTGCGCCGTTCCTTGCCACTTTCGACGTCCGTTGTTGATAGTTGGTACCAGTTCCAGTCGCCGCCGTGTCCAGGAGTCAGTTGCGACTGTCGTCAGCCGATGCCCTTATCACCACCGCCAACCAGATAAGATTGTTCTTTGTTCTTTTTGTTTACATTGTGTAGGTAATATAAATTGTATACCTCCATTACCGAACTTAGGTGAAGTATGATCATACACCCCCGTTCATAAATATTGTAAATATTATTCGTACAATAATATAAATAACTTTATTATGATTATTAATTTTCCGTACAACATGGCCCGAAGTTTTAAAACCGCTGACTAGCCTGTCGCCTACCCAGTCCGCCCCTGTATCGATTAAATTGTTTTAATTAAATGTATATATTATATCTCGTGTGTAAAGTAAAAAATATTTTATTTGAAATATCCCTCCTCAGTATTTATACCATATATCGGAAATAGAGGTATAATATTGTTAACTTAATATATTTTGTTTGGGCAACAACGCCGTTGCTCCGCTGTGCCTCGCGTCGGGTGCCGAACATTCGCGAAGTTGAACATCGCCCCCCCTCCACCATCCGTGATCGAGTTTGTGCCCCGGGCTAGTGGCTACCGCCGTCAACCAGTTCTGTCCGTGCTTGGCGGGTCAATGTGTTTTTTTGTACCCGCGCCACCTGGTTGTTGCTCATAGTGTCCGGACCCGTCCGTGGACTCCATTTGTTGTATTTTGTACGCTTTTCTTAGCCATTACGCGCGTATCGTCGTCCAGAGTGGTATATCGATCGGCCATTATCGACCCTCCGTGTGTGCTAACGCGCCAGACCGTTACCGTCGACGTCGTGGTGTCATTCGCCGCTTTGCGTGTGCGGTTCCTTCCGACCGACTGTGTGCCTCCGGCGTCCTTCATTACCATACTTGTGAATCGTCACCGATCGTACTCGTCGGCTATACCCTTCCGGTTCGGCGCTTAGTTGAGGGCCTCTCCGGTCTACCGTGCTTTGCGAGCATTTGGTTTTGGGGAATCCACGTGGTTTACGACCGTGGCACTGCTGCACGCCGATACGCCGTGAGCACCGCGACACGCAGGTGTGCCCACCCCGTTTTTGACGGTGCGCCGTTCCTTGCCACTTTCGCCGTCCGTTGCTGATAGTTGGTACCAGTTCCAGTCGCCGCTGTGTCCAGGAGTCAGTTGCGACTGTCGTCAGCCGATGCCCTTATCACCACCGCCAACCAGATAAGATTGTTGTTTGTTCTTTTTGTTTACATTGTGTTATATAAATTGTATAACTCCATTCCCGAACTTAGGTGAAGTATGATCATACACCCCCGTTCATAAATATTGTAAATATTATTCGTACAATGATAGATTTCGTTCGTGCTTTGTGCGCACACTTATAATTGCGTGTTTCATATTGTTACCTAGTTTGTTAAGTACCCACTCATTGCCTACACACAGGTCACTTCAACGTCGCGAGTGCTGTGCGGCCAGCTAGAGACAGCTTCTTCGATAGCTCCGACACAGTGCATACATTTTTGGTAGCAGAGCGTGGTTGGTTACCTTATGGGGGGGTCCCAGCCAAGCGGCTTACTGAACTGTTATTTTTTTTTTTTTTAATTGGTGCAGTGTGAGTACTGTAACATACCCGTAGCTGTAATTACGTAAGATGGTCGAGACCAAGAAGGAATTCGCTGAACGCGAAGAGCGCCGTCGCGAGAACGCGGCCCTGAAGCGGGAGTCCGCGATTGAGGATATAAAATCGGTACATGCCATGATACAACGCGCGAATTCCGATCCGGACTTCGTTTTAAATGTCGATGGGTTAGATTCCGTGTGGTCTCAGTTTAAAGCGGAAGTTTATCCTGCCGCACAATCGGGTGAATTACGTATTATGATTAATTCCGCGGAGGCTGCCGCGAACGTACTTCGTCCAGCTCGCACAGCGTCCACCGTGAGCCAAAACGTCGGTCACTCATCGTCCGTGTCCGATAAGTCGTCCGGTCAACCGTTATCGCGACTTCCGGAAATCCCTCTACCAAGATTTGGAATTGATTTTCATTTATGGCCGACCTTTCATGACACATTCGCCAAGTAGGTCGATAGTCACCAGTACATGTCGAACGTCGATAAGTTGCATTATTTGACTGGGTGCTTGTATGGTGCAGCCTTGGACGCGATTCGCAGTATACCCGCGTCCGATGATAACTATCAGTTGATATGGTCAACTTTATCTGCGCGTTTCTACCGCCCGCGCATGGTCGCGACTGCGCTATTAGAAAAAGTGTTGAACGCGCCGTTGTCGTCGCAGGAGTCATTGCACGATTTAACCGTTTTTTTGTCTACATTCGACGAAAATATTTCGTTATTATCCGCGATGGACATTCCTGACCCCGGGTCGTTCATCCTGTTCACTTCGGCTTTCCGTGCTTTACCGCTCGCCACGCGTAAATCATTTGAATCCACTATTACAAGTAACGTCGTTTATCCATCAGTCGATAAGTTACTGAAGTTCGTGCGGGATCGTATTACCGTGTTAGAAAATGTTGGCGAGACGCGGAAGACTGGTGCCATGCCGACGCCGTCACCTGTTACTGGGCCGCACGTCAGCCGCCGCTCGGGGAAGGGTCATCCCGTGGCGCTCGTCACCGCGAAACCAACGGAGACTCGTCCTCCGAATACCACTAGCTCATGTCCCTGTTATCATGGGTCGCACAACATCAGCTCATGTCCGAAGTTCCGATCAAGTTCACTGGACGATCGGAATCGATGGGCTCATGAAAATAAAGTTTGTTTTGATTGCCTCAGCGGCAATTATTGGATCCACGCCTGTCCATCGAAGTCGCGATGTCAAAAGTGTTCTAAGAAGCATCACATACTTTTACATGGTGCTACTCCCGCCCGTCAAGTGGATGGCGGTGACCTTGAGAGGGGGGAATCACCGTCGTGTAGCGCGGCCGCGTTGGCACCGCGTGCGAGTGTGATACCAACGGTTTTGTTAGACACTGCGTTGATTCACGTGCGAGACAGGGCCGGTACGTGGCAAACGGTTCGCGCTTTGGTCGACTCCGCGTCCCAGATAAGTGCCTTGACAGTCGAGTGTTCTACCCGCTTAGGATTCCGGCCCCGTCCGTGGACCATGCCAGTCAGTGGCATATCCGGTACACCTGTCGTCAGCGTGAAGGGCATCGTCGAATGTCACATCCGACCGCGTTTTGCGTCCGAACCATCGCTGACTGTGCAAGCGTGGGTGCTGCCTTCGATCACTAGTGGAGCCGCGGGCCGCGGGGGAACAACTTTGGCGACGCGACACGCGCCCGTTTCGACCTGCCTGATCACGAGGTGATCGGCCCTCTTGCAACGCACATCAACTGTCACGGAATAGGTACTTTGTGTTATTTGTTATAATAAATGTGACTGTTAATTATATTTAAGAACACTTTGTTACTAGGATTTTTTAACTTTCTTATCACTTCAACTCAATCACTTTCAGGACTCATGCCTTTCTCATTAAACTTTAATCCTAAAAATTTAACTTCTATTTGCTTATACTGTAACTTAGATATGTTAAACTTTATGTTATATTTTCTCGCTCTATCTATTACCTTATTCATTATTTGTCCATGCTATTCTATTGAATCTGCGGCAATTAATATGTCATCAAAATAGATAATTTACACCCTCTATATCTCCAAGGTATTTTTCATTTTGTTTCATAAACAGTTCTGGTGCTACACTCAATCCAAATGCTAACCTTAAGAACCTAAAATTACCAAACGGTGTGCTAAATGTGCAGTACTTACTCGATTTTTCATCTAATTTGATATGATAATATCCATCTCTTAAGTCAAGCACACTATAATATTTTTTGTTTATTAATTTTGGAGTAATTTCTTCTAACGTTGGTACTGGATATTGTTCTCTTACTAGACAGTTATTTAATTCTTTTGGATCTAGACAAATTCTAAGCGATGAATCTGGTTTTTGTACTACTACCAAATTATTTACCCACTCACTTGGTTCATCCATTGGTGTTATTATATTTTTTTTTACAAGTTCTTCTAATTTTAATTTTAATTTATCTTTAATTTTAATAGGTACTCTTCTAGCTATACTAGCTTTTGGTATTATCCCTTCTTTCAATTTAAGACTACATACATCAGGGAAACAACCTACACCTTCAAACACATCTAAGTTCATTTCCACAAATTTATTTTGGTTCAACTCATTGTTATGTTTTGTTGCTATCAAATCTACATTTTTTATTAATTTTAATTCCTTAAGTATTGGTAGTCCTATTATCGACCTACTCTTGTACACCTTATCTATCACTATGAACTCTGTTTCTATAGTGAAATAATCTAATGTCAATATAGTTTTTATTTCTCCTACTGGTTTCATCTTAAATCCAATATACACTTCTAATGTTACTTTTGTATTTTTTATTAACTACTGTATACCTAAATAATTACAATCTTCCTCTGACAATGTGTTTATCTCAGCTCCACTGTCTAACTTGAAATTAATTTTCTTACCATTTATTTCAAATGTTTTACACCATTCATTTTTTATAGACCACAACTTATGAACTGATTCTACTGTAAACGTGTCATGCTCTTCTCTATTTTCAATCTTTATTTCTTGCGCTTTTTTCATTTCATACTTGTTATCATACTGTTTTTTCTTTTTACACACTTTAGCAAAATTATGATACCCATTACAATTTTTACAACATTTCCCATATGCTGGACAGTTTTTATATACATGATTTGACCCACATCTATTACAATTAATCATATTATTAAAACTATTACGTTTCTTACTCATTTGACGATAATTTAACTGATTTGTTTGACTGCTATTATACTGATTTTGATTTGACTCGTCCTTTTTCCAAGATTTGTTCTGATTCTGCTCCTTGGTCCTATATTTGTTTACTACTTCATGCACAGTTTTGTCTGATTCATGTCCCGTGATCAACATCCTTCTGTTTGACTCTGCACGTTCCACTGATTGGCAATATGATACTACTTTGTTCAACGCAACATCATTTCTTAGCAATCTGGTTTGGGTTTCTTTATCAAATATTCCCAACACTATCTGCGTTCTTAATATTTTGTTCTCAGCTTCTCCAAAATTACATCCTTTGATTAATTTTTTCAGATCCGTGTAGCATACATCAAACTGTTCACCATCATGTTGTTTTTTGTTAAAGAAATTAAAATGTTCTATAGTTTCATTGGTTTTAGGAATGCAGTATTCTTCCAGTGATTTTAATATTGTTCCTACTGATTCTTCTCCAACCTTCTTTATTGTATTGTATAATTTTAAGCCATCATGACCCATCAAATTTAATAAGCAAGCCACTTGTACATCTGAGTCTTTCTTATTCGTTTCTGTCGCTTTAAAATATATTTCGATTTCTTGTTTAAACATTTTGAAATTTTTATTCGTATTAGCTGTCGACGTGTAAGTCCGTTGGCCTTTTCGGCGCGTTACCATTGCAGTACAAGTGTTTTATCGCTATTTTTTGCGCTACTACGAGCTGGGTATGTCATTTTTCTATTTTTTTATGTGCATCACGTTAGCCGGTGTGTACCTATTCATTCTAAAAATAACACAAGTCTCATACATCACCGCTCATAACAAACTGATACAGTCATTATATTCGATTGCAACGATTTTTTTACGAGTATTCAGCATTTACTTTTCATGATTATATTATATTCGTTTGTGATGTTTTTAGGCTATTCAAAATGGTCAAACGCTGCGCGCTATGCGGAGTTGTGGACAACAACGACGATGACGTTTCCGTACACAGGTACTTCACACAACACGTTAAATATCAATTTATCATAATAAATTATGTGTCGCCTCTTAGATTTCCAATCGCCGTACAACGTCGTCTTCAGTGGGTGGCATTTGTGGTGGACCAAGGTTTTCCCGTTAACCACACATCTCAGCTGTGTTCGAGGCCCGCGGCAGTGCCGTGTCTTTGGTGAGTATATTCATTGCAGTGCACCATGCCTGTATGCCCGTCTGGCTGGACTTCTAACACCTACTAATAATGTTGTGTACTCTCATGGGTTTAATGTACCTACTGTGTCTTTCAAACTTGTGGCTAACGACAAGCAACCTAACTTAATTTGATAACTAAACTCAATGACATTCAACGTTTTTGTTGCAACATAATGCATATAAGCTCACACAAGTATACTAATAAACATGATAAATAGGTACGTATCTTTATCATTTCAAGTTTGATCAATTTTCACATCATTTACAATATGGAAATTACTTAATATAATGTTGGATAGTGTAGCCCACTGTAGTAAGTAATTGTCAACATTCCTTACATGCTTAATTATTCACTATGCTCTTAGATACATATTATTGTTTACATATTATTGTTTCTGTACATAACTGCTACTGCTATATACCTACCTACTATACTATACTGGCTCGGTACAACATTCTTGAAAACTATTATATATAAACTATTGTATAGAAATTAAATCGTAGAATAACTTGAACGACATTCAATTGTGTTACTGCTGTTTCAGATTTCAATTGCATATCAAACACTGGGTCGAGCTTATTTTCATACTTTGACTAAAATTATAACTATACTTATAAACTTATAACTATACTAATATATCAACTTTTACTATATTGACCTAAATGGAACACTTGACACATTTTCTTAATGTTACTACTACACAAAGCAGGTATTACCTCTCCTTTTTTTTGTGAATTGTTAACTGGATAAGTGTTTTCTCATTTAGATCATTTCAGTACTTTGTTTACTTTATTTATACAACTAACTTTGTTTGTACTGCAGTGTTACTTATTTGATAAATATAGGTGCACTTGATTTTATTACACACCATGTAGGGTATTTTAATGTAACATAAACTTTACATTCAACTTATTATATAGTGCAATTCTCATAGAAATGCACTTATTGCATTTGAGTACCTACACTTAGTGTTATAGAGTGCAATACAATTGTTATTGTTATGGTTATACATATAAGCACATTTGGTTTAAATCCATAACTAAAATATTATAGTGTCGGCACGCCGTTTGTCGATCAACGATTGATATAGACTATTCCAACTAACACTATAGATAACAGTCATACCTTAATTGTTCATCTATGTAGCACGTAGCTAATAGCTTGGAACACATCTTATCATATGAAAAAAATTATTTATTAATACTCTCATGTATACTCTCATTTATCACACTACTATTATTTTTATTAATATGTTGCTGCTAATATTAAAAATTTGGAAAGTCATTACACTATACTCTTTAGCAACACACATCACTTACCCTATTTTATTATTACTAATAATATATTACTGTTGTTAACCAACTACTAAAATATTTAATGACACACCTCACACACAATTGTCAATTGACAAACGTTACTGTTACAGTTCATAAAACAATATTGGGATTAAGGAAATAATAAATAACAATAAAAGTTACATGAAATGGTGCTTTATTCATTCTGAAAAATATTTAAAAAAAATACAATTGTTAAATAAATTATGAAGTAGACAAAATCGTCCAATTGAAACTTACCAGCCTCCATCACCACCCACTGCCCACTGTTTGCCGACCCGATCACACTGAAAATGATGTATATAATTATATTTTTTTAATATTTTAATTTATATAATATTGACTATTCTTACGTTGGAGTTGTGGCGTTCTGGCGCTGAGGAGATGGAGGAGGCGGTCGTGTACCCCCCCACCCTCCTCACCCGTTGAATCTCGGTGTCGAGGCTGCGGCCGGCTCCTCCACGCCCCTCGACATCTGACCGACCAAACCTACTGAAAAACAATACATTTTATGTTTTTGATGATAATTGACCATCTTTTGGTATTTGCGATCTTACCTTAACCACGGCCCCGCCCGCCTCGACCCTCGCTGCTGCTGCTGTTGTTGTTGCTGCTGCGGCCCCGACGAGGAGGTGCCCGGCGATTGCCGCAGGTACCACAGCAGAGGGGGTCTGATAAAATTTACAAAAGCTTAGCACGTGAAAAAATAAATAATAGGACAAACTTACCACAATTCCTCGCCAGGTGACCCACCTGTTGGCACCTGTAACACCCTGAAACGTACAAATCATGTTTAGTGTTATGCCGGGTTCACATTATTTGCAATTTCTCGCATTGTAGACTTGCTTGCAATATATATAATGCAAGAATACGCATGGTAATACGCAAGTGCATGTTCACATATATGCTTGTGTATGTGTAGTCTTGCATGTATTTATAATATTGTTTAGTTTTCAAAAGGGATCTGATCGCGACTAGAAGTGCTGTTTTTTTTTAATTTTGAAATATTTTAATTTTACGAGACTGTTAAATGGATCCAACAAAAAAAGGAGTACTTATTGTTTGTAATATGCTTCGTAAAGAAATCTTAAAAAAGAAGCAAGAAGCTTTTAAAAAAAAAAGATTGTGGGTTCGACAGTGGATTAGTAGAAGAAATAGTGTTGGCGCATCAAATAGTTTATGTTTTGAATTAAGAAATGAAGATCCATCATCATACAAACACTTTTTGAGAATGGATAATTACCTTTTCAATATTTACTGGATCAAGTTAAACCATTAATTCAAAAAGAAGACACTTTTTTTAGAAAAGCATTACCTGCACGTACAAAATTGGAAATAGTACTTCGTTTTTTGGCCACAGGCAATTCTTTTACCAGTCTTCAATATTTATTCAGAGTACCTAAGAACACAATAAGTACGTTTCTACCAGATGTGTGTGATGCTATTTATACTGCATTGAAAGAATTCATTGAAGTAAGTACTATGTTTTTTATCTTTATTTTCACCAAAAAGTATACAATTAGGTAGGTACCTAGGTTATCTATGAGAGTTTATATCTATATAAACAATATAGGTACAGAAAATTAATTTAAGTAAAATAAAAAAAAAAATCTTAAAGAGATTTAAAATTGTAATAAACCAAATATGATACAATTTAACAATAGGCATAATATTCTTTTTAAGTAAACAATTTCTTAGTTTTTTTTATCAAAATTCAAAAACTTAAAAAAAAATTATAAAATAAAAAACTTGATAGGTACCTATAAGAAATATAAAATATTTACAAAGAAAAAATATCATCATTTGAAGAATAGGCTGATAAACCATTACTTTCATTTGACATTTGGTTACTGGCTGATGGAACTGCTAATGTTGTGTTGTACCCTGGTGAATATTCCACATGTATATCATTAGTAGCTTGTTTATTATAAATAACTGGTGTTTGCGAAAAGTTAAATACTCCACTTGGACTTGGTTGTACAGCTTGCAATTTATACTTAATAAGTAAGCTATGTATATCACTTTGTGCTTGAAATGATAAATTTATTGGTAATTTTTTTAACATCGTTGATACTAAATTACCAAATGCATCAAATTCGTTCATTTCCAACGGTTGTGTTGTTTTTCAGATATTTTGTCTAATTTTTTTAGAGCATTATCAAGATATGTTGTATTCGACACTTCATTTTTCCTTTTTTTTGAAATTGATCGTTTTAAAGTCCGTGGAGGTGGTAGCGGAGGTGATAAAACTTTTTCTGATAAGTCCGATGATAGTTGGGATGTATTGTTAACTGCAGAGATTAATGTAGCACTATGTTCTGATGAAAAAGAGCTATTCAGCTGAATTGCCTCGGCTGATGTTAAATTTTCACAAACAAAATTTGACTGAGATTCGTTATCTTTTTCAATGAGCATTTCCTATAATAAATAATAAGTTGAAAATTAGGTGGGTACTTCGAAAACGTAATAAATAAAATAATCAACTGTTCAAATGTTTTATGTTATATTTAAAATTTATATTATTTTTGAATCTGAAATATTTTTATACATTTCCAGGTCCCTAGAAAAGAAGAGGAATGGAAAAAAATCCCAAATGGTTTCAATTTGCGTTGGAATTTTCCTAACGTTGGTGCCCTTGACGGGAAACATGTAGTTGTAAAAAAACCACCGGGCACAGGGACTGAGTACTTCAACTACAAGAATTCTTGTAGTATAGTATTAATGGCAAGTGTAGATCATGATTATTGCTTTCGTTATGTAGATATTGTAGCAAAAGGAAGACAGTCGGATGTTGGTATATTTGCAGATTGTTCCTTAAAATATGCAATTGAAAATAATAAACTAAACCTCCCAAAAGACGCAGTTTTTGTTGCCGATGAAGCGTTTCCTATGAAACCATATTTAATGAAACCATATTATGCGCGAAGAAATTTAACAAAAGAAGAAAAAAATTTTAACTATAGTTTGTCAAGAGCTAGGCGTATAGTAGAAAAGGCTTTTGGAATTCTAACAAGTCGATTTAGAGTTTATGAAAAACCAATATCGCTTATTCCAGAAAAGGTAGACAGTATCGTAAATGCTACTTGTGCTTTACATAATTGGCTTAGAATAAAATCGCCTAATACCTACACACCATCGGGTACATTTGATTATGAAGATTTAGATAATTGTTATTGGTCTCCTGGATCATGGCGTAATGAAGTACAACCGACAGGAATTATAAATATGACTTCTCACCCACCGAGATATCCGTCGACATCAGCCACAACATTGCGAGAAAAATACACGAAGTACACATAATAACGAAGGTGCTGTTCCATGGCAGGATAATATGATTTTTTAAGTAAATTTATCTATATGTTAGCGGCAATGTGTATAATATATTTAATACAAGGTGTATCAAAAGTCTTCATCCGATTTCAGAATATTATATTTATATTAAAAATGAAGATATAAGGGTTAAATAAAGTAAAATATATTCTTAAAATAGTCAAGTTTTATTTACTTTGGTTACAAATGTTCAATATGACCCCCACCGGCCGCCCGACACACATCTATACGGTAATCAAATTCTTCCAAAACGTTGCTGATCAAATCTGGTGTCGCGGCATTAACAGCATCTTTGATTCTGATTTTAAGCTCTTCCAAGTTTGTAGGTAATGGTGGTACATACACTTTATCTTTTATGTAGCCCCATAAAAAAAAATCACACACTGTGAGGTCAGGGGAACGTGGTGGCCAGGGATGAATCGCCAAATCGTCGTTTCCTTTACGCCCAATCCACCGCTGAGGGAGCTCACCGTTCAAATACCGGCGAACTTCTAACTTCCAGTGCGGCGGTGCTCCATCTTGTTGAAAAACAAACTCATCACTATCCGCTTGTAACTGTGGAAACAACCATGTTTGCAACATGTTTAGATATGTGTTACCCGTTACTGTGTTTTCTTCAAAAAAAATCGACCATAAACTTTTTTCCTGGAAATTGCACAGAAAACATTGATTTTTGGTGAATCTCTTTGATGCTTAACAGCTGCGTATGGTTGCTCTAAAGCCCAAATCCTGACATTATGGCGGTTGACTTTTCCACTTAGATGAAATGTGGCTTCGTCCGAAAAAACAAGGCGTGAGACAAATGACTCATTTTCTTCTTGTTTTTCGGATATGAAATTGCAAAAATCAATCCTTTTTTGTTTGTCATCCGGTTGGAGGGCTTGTAACAGTTGTATTCGGTATGCCTTCAATGTCAAACGACGTCGTAGAACACGCCAAACGGTCGAATGTGGGAGATCTAGCTCTAGGCCTGCACGACATGTAGACTTCTGTGGACTTCGAACGAAACTTTGTCGAACTCGCTCGATGTTTTCGTCAGAGGTATGAAGTCGACCTGAGCGTTTCTGTGCACACAGACAACCACTTTCTTGGAAAGTTTGGTGCCAACGTCGAATGCTTTGAGCAGTAGGAGCTTCAGTTCCATAAGTTCTTCGAAAATCACGTTGAACGGTTATCGCCGACTCGCACTTATTGAAACGTAAGACGCAAAATGCTTCCTGTTGCGGAGTCGCCATAACGAAACAAATTAACGATTCCTATAGTTCACTAACCATTACGGTGCCAAATTTATCAACTAGATAACTTAAAATAAACTTAGTTGTCTAATCTTTCCATTAATACATTGGTCATTAACCTGCGATTAACCGTTGCCGAAATATATCAGTTGGTAATTGGATGAAGACTTTTGAAACACCGTGTATATAAAACGCCTAGAAATTCTATATAATACCTGGTGGTTTTTAAAAAAGTGTATAATAAATTTTTTTTTACACACATTTCCTAAATATTTTGTATAATAACTAGACATTTCATAAAATGACAAACAACAAATTGGCAATCTGTAGAATAGTGATGTAACCAAAATAAATAGATTTCCTTCTATCATAATTAAGACAATTATTAGTTTTATTAGCGCATAAAAAAAATATTTATTACAAAGTAGGTATCATTAATATTACAGAATATAATGCATAAAAATGCATAAAAATGAAAAAAAAAAAATAATTTGTAAATTGTATGGGTAGTACTAACATGCAGTTATTAATTATTATTACTATTATATTGTTCTATAAAATACAAAAATCTATGTAGAACGTAGGTCCTCATTAGGAATAATTAATACAATGTAATTTTTTTAATTTATTTTAAATTTCGTTAAGACAAAATAAATGTTACTAAAAGTATTCTATTATTACAAAAAAAAACATTATATTTCATATGTTTAAGTTTATAAAAAGTTGTTAAATTTATTTATTACAACACTGTAGGTTAGGATGACATTTTGAATTGCAATGAATTTTATTTTTTAAACACTTACATCTGTTATTTTGACATCTTGTCGCACATGAACATTTAATAAATCCTTGTCCAGATCCAGTTGCTTCTTGAGTGGCAATAGATCGTAAACCCAATTCTTTTTCGTGGTTTACTTCATCTAAAGCCACAAAATTTTGTTGACAGACTGTAAATTGGGATCTGGCATAAAGTTGTTTCAGAACACCTAAAGAAAACAAATACAAATATAACAAAAAATACAAATTAATAATTAAAAATTTACGAAATTATCAATCAAACAATAGGTACCTGTTTTATTTCCTAAACGATAAAATCCATCTTCCGTAACTTCCAAAACACACGCCAAAACATTATGAGCTTCTCCTCGTCCTCGATCAACATCTGAAATTGGTACTCTTACTGTGTTTCCAACACGTGCCGGAGGGAATTTTTTATTTGATCTAGTTTTCATGTTTATAGCCTGTAATTCCAAATTACAATGTGCTTCTCTTCGCTGGTTTTCGGTTTTTTTAGTTCTGCTACAAAGCTTACATAACAAGTCTTTCTCCACAGATATTGTGCCACTCTCATGGATTTTGCTATCACATGTTATACATTGAACCATATTTTTATCGTTTTCTTCTGAGTACACCAAATAATTCCCCTTATTTATACTATTATCAACTGTACAAATATCTTCGTTAATCGTAGTTATAATATCTTCGTCATTGGTAGTAGGTAGAGAAAGACAGTTCTGGCGCCTCATCCTGCTGGCTCATCCCTATACCCGTCTGCTCATCCCATTACACCGTCTGCTCATCCCACTATACCCGTCTGCTCATCCCACTATACCCGTCTGCTCATCCCACTATACCCGTCTGCTCATCCCACTATACCGTCTGCTCATCCCTATACATTGACGGCTGATGAACCCACCATATATCACACACGTTAACGATGTACCCCCGCCACCCCATCACCTATGACCACCGCGCGTGGAAAATAATTTAAAAATTTATCCGCCGTGATTCGAACCCGGTTAACTTGCATGATAAGCGACAACCGTACCACTGGGCCGCCTACTCGCATCTGTTTGAGAAGGTATATTCTATCTCATTTAACCGGCGTCCGCTTACGTACGCGAGGTATAAATTCCCCCACCACTAAACCATTTACCCCCTCCCGATTAACCTGTAGGGACTTTTCGATGTCTCCCCCACCAATTAATATTTAATTTGCTCGTTTATGAACACAACTACACAACATAAATTCAGTCACTCTATATAATCGTTCCAAGTGTTTCGCGTGTGCTTGTCTCATATTCAGTGTTAAAATCATAATTATTTCTCAGTGCGTAAAATAAATATGGCTGGTCCAATTGAAAATATGGAAAATATATACAAGAAAACTTACAAATATACACCACCATCGCCGCCAGCTAATCTGATCGACTGCAGTAACTTGACTATTGATTTCACGGCTCGGAAGTTTTTAAACATTGGACTAGACCCTACCGATGAATTCAAAGCAGCGGTTCATATTATAACAGCTTCGCGGCATGTAAATATTCCCATCGATTTTCTGAAACGCATATTCAGATTTATGGGAAACATTCTATCGTTCGTACTTGACCGTCCACACGAACACAAACGAATTTTATTTTTGGAGACAGAGTCAATTACAATGTCTAGTATGATATATAAATCGGAGAACACACTTGTTTTAGAATCGAAAACTCAAGACGGATGTCGCGTTTTGTTAAATCGTACAGATCTACTGGTCTTACAAGATTTAGAATGTGCTATTTTTGAAATTATTAAAAGAAAATCCGAAATAGTTAAACCAATCGTACTACATCATATCGAGTTAATCGTCACATTCTTAAAAATAAACGTACCGCTACAAAGCTCAGTACTCGAAATATTGAGAACTCATGTGAGAAACATCGATAATAGCTTTATCCAAAGTCATGTTATTGACGAGGCAATGCAATATGGTATTAGTCAGAGCGATTACATTTACACAAATCAAGTAAAATTATACGCAACTGATTATATCGTACAAAAATGGATTAACAAAGTGAAAAAAGATGAGGTATGAATATTTTTTTTTAATAACTTATATTATTATGTTATATTAATAAACTGAATTTTTACAGGGATACAATAGCGAGCGTTCTATGACTTTTTCTCCACCACCATCGTTCAGCAGTTTATATGAACAGGTAATAAACAGTTATAAATTATATTCACAAAACATATTTAAATTTCAAATATTTTCAGGAAAATCTATCATCAGTCTCGCCCTTGTCCCCGTCAGCACAAGAGAGCTACCTCGAGAACAACCAGGAAGGCTTTTCGGAAAACGATGGACCATTTGGACCACAATATAATTAATTATTTTTATACTAATTTAGTTGTTTTTTGTCTAAAATAAAAACAAGCGTGATATTTAAAAACAAGTTTTTTTTATTTAATAATAATAAGGTTATAATATATATATAGCATAAGGTCACAATATTTTACAAAAAAAAAAAAAAAAAAATATATAAACATTTTTACAATTTTCTAACTTCTCCACTAAACGGGCTATAAGTTATAATCTGGTCATGTAATATTAAGCAGTACGCTGTAGTTTTTGCTGGAATAATTGTATCCGTCTCAAATTCAATACGCAGGTCTACGGTTGACGACTTCACATTGTCGTTTTGACACGATAAATCGACGACGATGATTGGTGAATAGTTTTGAAAAATATGTTTTGATAATAATGGCTCGCTGTACTCTTTCTTATAATACGATTTTTGAAAGTCTGTATAGCCCTTATACAGTATACTAGTTGTATTATTTTTAAAATCAGCACGAAAGTCTTCATATGGATACACTTCAGAATTTAAGTGAACTTTAAGATTTTTTAACTGACAGTGATCAAAGCGCCCGGCGTCTGTCTCAATATTTCTTTTACGATCTGTTTGTAATCCAAACAACACAAACCTAGGTTTTTCTAACAAGTTGCTGGACTTTACCGTCCACGAATGTGAAGTATTCCTAGGAAGAATGGGATACTCGTTAAGATCCCACGTGCGGAATGCGCACGATAGTGTTTTACAAGAATCTATCACTTTTATCAACTTTAATTTTTCTTTATCACTAACTTTGATAATAGGCATTTTCCATGCTACCTTAGTAAGTTCAATTGTAATTTTTTTATTGTTTTCAACGGCTCCGCTTGCACCCTCTCCAACAACGTGTATCGCGTCCAGATCGGTAGACGCCCGATTTAAAATCAATTGTTGATTACAATTAAGTAATATTTTTTTATAGTCTTCACAAAATCCGAATAAATGTTTTAGAGGGATACACCCGGTAAATACATTGCTGCTCATAAAGTTTTTATTATCTTCGCCATCCATAGCCGAGTCCCAAGCAGCGCTCTCTAACGTATTCAAATCGTTTGGAGTATACGAACAGTATGCTTTTAAACAAGATGAGACTCCAGGTGTTTTTAATTTCTGTATTACTACTCCATTTATTTCATATCGCATTTCGGAGAATAAAAACGCCAATCCATTATTTGAAAAACGTACTTCTCCAACAGCATCGACAGGTTTATTTACTCTCCCCTCTATGTAAATATAGCTTTCACACGGTAAAGTGTACGCATCCATATTTAAAACACTTATCTTAATTTCATCGTTATTCGATAAAGACAGGTTCGAGTACGGAGTGAACGAATGATAATGCTTTTGTGTTATTTTACACTCGTCGACATAATCGACCCCAACGTCTAAATACGAGTCGTCCATAATTATTTTTTTTATACTTGCAACGAACGTAGAAAATTTAAATTATTTTTCGTGAGCTTGATTTCGCCTTTTTTCGGTTTAGATGTTGACTTCTTAACAGCAGTCGGTAAACTGACTGGTTTTTTGATTGTAGATCTTTTTATATTAAACTTTAGTGCCATTTCCACACGTTATTTGTAATCGAATCGTAATTGGTTCACCGCGCAGATTTATTAGACAATCGTTCTGATCTTTTAGCGCGATATACACTCTAGATATCAAAGTCGTGTTGAGAGCATAAAAAACGGGATGTCTAGGTACCTCGACGATTTTATAGCCTGGCGGAACAGTTGGATAGAGCTCGTGTATGATCTGACTCGGTGCTCCGTCGCAAAATGAGCCAGTAATCAAGTTACACATGACTTTTATACTATTGATTTTCATTATCTTGACTGTACTTTCAGATTCGTAATTATTACCAGTAGTGTATAATTCATTTCTAAAACCCAATAATTTCGCTATACTATTTTCAACTGATAAGTCAACGTCATGACTACACGAGAGTATACACTTTAATGTGGTATTGTTTGCTTTTAATTCAAACCACTCGATATATTCGGGCATATTTTTCTGTATAACACTCTCTAAATTATCAAACTCATACGATCCCGTAGGTATGATAACATCCTCTCTTTGTCCGATCATATTACGAAAACCGATAGTATTACAGCCGGGTTCAATGTTTGGTATTGAATTATTTGTCTGTAGGCTCAAAAGGCATATTTGTGATGTGCTTTCTACTTCTAGCGGTGGAAAAATGTCGCATGACAATTCACTTGAGGTACCGTTTAATGTTAACGTGTACATGATAAAAATTTTAAACACAAGTGCCCGCAGTTGGTAGTATTATATTTCTGCTCTCTGCTGTAATTGAAATTGATGTCGCATCCGTGAAAATATTTTTGTACTTCTAATGGAGGTGGCAAATTTCCGAAACTGTCATAATATTCAATTTTATTCCCGATTTTTTTATACGCTACCCAGTGAGTACCTATACCGTTTTCTGTATCCAAGTTAACAATCGCTGATTCTATTCGTTTACAACGTACAGGCAACCTATCTCGGGTAAACACACCGACGAAGTGAGGTATTTTAATCAAACGAGCCATTTTTATAAGCTCGTAATCGTACAGGGCTCGACGGGGTAACGTAGCTATTAGTTTTTTTTATTTTTTATAGTCTTCTTCGTTTTTACACTCCCTCCACTTTTATATGGTGCGAGATTTAAACCTGATCCGATTTTATACGAGTTGCCCTTATACGGCGTGATATATAATCCGCCGCCCAAATGAGATTGCGTATTTCTTTTAAATTCGTTAGCAACCTTGACAACGTTAGCAACACCGCCACTCAGTGCTCCTAGTGCTGACAAACCGGCAAAAATCGGAATGAGCGGTAACACCCCGCCCTTTTTCGGAATTGATATAATCCTTGGAACTTTAGTTTTTTTATTTTTGAATGTTTTTCGTGCGACGGCTACACATTTCTTACTTAATTTCATAAGATTTTTTTCGCCGATATTTTTCTTTATTGTGTTTTTAGCTGCTTTGATGGCTGCTTTAAACCCGCATCCAGCCCCGATTTTACGTTTTACTTTCATGGCGGTAGTTACGCCCCAAGCCACAGCTTTTTCTTTTAAACTAGAATCTTTAGACTTGAACCTATCCCAGGCTCGCTGCTCTAATATATAGTCAGCCTGGTTTCGATCTGTTATAGAGTTACTTCGGTCGTATGCAATATCGTGATCCCTACACGCAGCGTCTAAAGGATTTACACCTTTATCTCCTCGAGCTAAACGTTTTTTTAAATTTGTCCCAGGCCCGCAATATTGATAACCTATAAGAAATATTATTATTATTACTATTACTGCGTTAATACGTATACGCGTATTTTTCTCACCAGGCACGTGAATCTCTAATGGT